ATGAACCAAAGTGGTGCAGTGGTTAGAGGGCTGTAAAGCACTATGAAGAGGTATATAAGTCTAAGTGCTATTGCTATATTGTTCTCTAAAATCTTGTCTATTTCTACAAGATCCGGGAAGAATAGGATAGGATAGGATAGGATAGGATAGGATAGGATAGGATAGGATAGGATAGGATAGGCATAGGGATAGAATCTGGAAGGGACCTTGGAGGTCTTCTAGTCCAGCCCCCTGCTCGAGCAGGAGAACCTATACCATTTCAGACAACTGACTGTCTAGTCTCTTCTTAAAGAGATTTTTAAAAAGAGGCTAGACAGTCACTTGTCTGAGATGGTATAGGTTCTCCTGCTTGAACAGGGGGCTGGACTAGAAGACCACTAAGGTCCCTTCCAGCTCTATTCTATTCTAAAAACCTCCAGTGATGGAGCGTCCACGATTTCTGAAGGCAAGCTGTTCCACTGGTTAATTGTCCTCACTGTTAGGAAGTTTCTCCTTAATTCCAGGTTGCTTCTCTCTTTGGTCAGTTTCCAACCATTGTTTCTTGTCTTGCCCTCTGGTGCTTTGGAGAATAGTTTGACACCCTCTTCTTTGTGTCAGCCCCTCAAACAGTCTCAATACTCTCAAATACTGTCAAATACTCAAATGACTCCCAAGAGTTCTGATACCTCTCTCATGAAATGACATCCCTATTTTGCTCACACTGAGATCAATACTGTGAGAACCAGAATCAATGATACATTTATATTTGCCATACAACGTTTTCCTGTTACTTTTAATTTACGTATTAATTAACAACTTCATACAGTATATGTACAGTAAGAGGTCAAATTTAAAGTACTGAATGTTAGGTCTGAGTATGTTTCAAAAATGTTCAGAAGATATATTTTGGAACGTATGAAAGCAAGGTAACTGCTTTAAAGAACCAAGTATTTTACAACAGCCATGTGTTATGCAATTTATAAAGCAGTCACATTAATTTTCAGATTAACAAAGAAAGGTGATAAAAGTGTTATTCAATATTCAACAATTAAAACATATTAAGACTGACTAACTCAATCAAAAAAAGGCAAGGTAAAACTTTTACAGATTCTAAAGTGTAGCACAAGTGCCACAGAAAGCAAAGAATTTCAAGAATATGTGTAAAGCCCCACATGGGTGGCAAACAAAGAAAAGATGTTCATATTACTTTCAAGAAGGCATGTGTAATGTTAAACTGTGATAAAAAATAATCTTGGAAACTCCAAGAGTAAAGTATTAGGCAGAACCATATAGTAATGAATTCATTAAAATGAAATAATTGTCTAATGTTGCTTCCCACTACTTTCACAACCCAGCTGTGCTGTCTCTTCTCCCCAAAACTGTGCTTTTCTTCCATTTTCTTTCCATTGTTTCTCACAATATACCACTATAGAGAAGTCCCCTTTCTAGATTACTGTTAAATTATAATACATCACTTTGCTCTATGTAATTTATTTAAAGAGGGAACAGGACATTTTCTTCTCCCCAAGTAACTTACTGTTAAAATGAAGTAATCATTGTAGATTACCTGAAAATCTGATAATAAAACAAGATATTTCCTTAATTTTCCTTTTGGGGAGGAAGGAGGAATAATTTAAAATTCATTTTCCTTTGAATAACTATGTCAACCACACATGAATGTGATCCCACTAAATAACCTTCATGATTGCTTTGATCCATTCATTTTCTCCAAACTCAAGTGCAGATATATATTTGCCAACTTAGCATCTACTTTAAATACACAAAAATATGTGGTATCACAACTGTATGATCTTGAATCTAACCGTAATGACACAGGTCTCTGAAACTAGGAATCCTGTTGGAACAGACCAAAAGCATATCTAGTATATTATCCTATTTTTCACAACAGCTAACTTCCAGAACTTTGGAAGTTTTTACCACACCCACAGAAAAAAAAAGATTGGCATGCTATTAGATTTTCTGATCTCCAACTGTTCATAACTAGCATCAGTTCCATAAAATAAAACAGAAGACAAGACGTGGGAGAACACGATGGTTGAAGATTTTCATGAAGGTCAACACTTCTTCAAACTTGCAGCTCTTCCTTTCCTTGCAGTGAAGGAGGTCAATAGGGATATTGGGAAAGAGTCTATTCTTCAATTTCCCAATAGACAATCAAATTTGCTAAAAAAAAAAATTAGTTCTGTGGGTTTTTCTTCCAACACTGAGCAACAGTTGTAAAAGCCAACCACAGAATCTAGAAAAAGGCAGCTACGAGGGTGAGCATTCCTCCTCATATACACCAAAGACCCTGGTGACTTTGAATTTGAAACATGCACAACTCTATTAGCTGTGGTAGTGAGATGATGAATCCAAAGATCCCCAAAAGATCATAGGTTACCTGTTCCAAAACCATCAAAAAACCTCCATCCTTCAACCTGTCCAAAACATCTCTTTGGTAGCCTTACAAGTTGTAGGGAAGAGTTCCCTCATGCCCTCTTTCTCAAACAGACTTTGATTCCATTCTGACATTCAAAGAACCCCTGTAACCTTTCTTTTAGCATTTGCTTAAAAGTGCAGATACAGCTTGAAGGGGGGCAGGGACATATCTGCAGACTTGAGATCCCATGTATTATTCAAATCTTCTCATCTCCCCCCATGATTTATAACTCCACCCCATTCCAACTTTGTCATTGGACACAATCCTCCTAAAGGTATAAGATTCAGTTCTAAACACACGTGTGAATAACTCCCAGACTTTGGAAGGAAACGCTCTAGACTAGAGCCTCTTCAGCACATCTGGCCCAGAGAGAAGCAAGCCAAAATTATGCTAGATTAAGTCAAATGAGCCACACCCAGTTCCTTCAGCCAAACTCACAAGAGCAGAAAAGTTCTAGTCTTGTGACATAAACAACGGTCCGCACTGTAGAGAAACCTATTCACTGGATTACAGGACCACGGAGTAAGCTATACAGTAATCGGCGCTTCCCCCGTTTATTTTCACGTGCTTAGCACACACATAGACACACGCGGCCTCTTAAGTTTACACGGGGCGATCTTAGATCAGCTGCCCATCTCCCGTTCTGAAATGCCTCATAAAATTTCTGCGGAGCGAAAAGGAGGCCGAACCTCGCCGAAATGCTTGGAAGGAAGAGCAAGACATGCAACCTGGTTAAGGTTGCATGTCTTTCGATGTGCAACCTTAAACCAGAAGAGCAACGTCCAACTGATCGAACGGGACTTGCTCCTCTGTAAGCGATCCGCCGATTTCCACCAGGCGTTTGCTGAACAGGTTTGCTCGCCTTCCCCAATCTAAACGTCTCCCCTCAAAGCCCGTACATCCTACTCGGGGTGTAAACCCACTGATGACCCCCCACCACCACCACCACCACCCCCGTGGGGTTACGTCTTAAGAAAGGTGCACGGAAAGAAACCGGGATGTGCCAACCAGAAACAGCGGCCGATTTGCCTCCTCAAAGCCGAGGCGCGGAAGCTCTTCCCTTCAAGAAGCTGGAGAAATTAAACCAGCTCCCGGGGAAAAAAACAGAAACCTACACTGGGCAAGTTTTCGCGTGACATTAACCTAGTCACCGGCTCTATTAACTTAACATTCCGAAGGAAAGAAAGAAAATTCCTTCTTTCGGAAACGAAAAACGATGAGCAAGAAGAGCCGGCGCAGCCAAGGAGATGGAAAATCCCTGCTTTCTCCTCAACTCGGCCTCCCAAGTTAAAATAAGGAAGGTTTGGTATTATTGTACTAGCACCAGGTTTCCATTTAAGAGTTCTCTCTCGATATTTAAAAACACACCGCGTGGGATCGCAATCACCGCGCCTGCATCTTTTCCCCCCCGCGCATGCCAACGCGTACGAAACAGCGCAAATCTCTATTAACTAGGACGGTTTGGGGCAAATGCGAGAGGAAATCGCTCTTCGGCAGCAGCGAAACAAACCAACCGGCCTCCTACGTAATAGACCGGCAGCGAGCAGCGTTTTCTATCCGCTGCCTCCCCTCCGCTTATTTTCTTTAGTATAAAATTGCTCCCATCAACAAGGGGGGGGGGGAAACTTAGCACGGCTCAATTGCAACACCACCAGTTGCGCTTTCCAGTTTGCAGAGCAAATCAGCGGAGCGGGGAGACAGCTTTCCCATCCCCGGTCCGAACTCTCCGTCGGAAAAACTCTCGGCAACAAGTGTCGCCCACAGAGCAACCGCGGCAACGGTACAAGAAGCGAGGAAATACCTGCCGCCTCGCCGCTGCTTCCGACGAGCCTCGGTGCCCGAGCCGCTGCCTAAAACTCGGCGCTCCGCAAGCCGAACGCACCAGCAGATACTCAGCGCGCCGCGCACGAGAATCGCGAAGCTCTAGAGGAACGCAGTTATCTTGAGCCAACCGCGGTGCCGTACCTCTTGGAACGTACCATTGTGTTTTATTTTATCCTTGGGAGGGTCGATTTGGGTTAAAAAGAAAAAAGAGAAACGGGTTTTTTTTCCAGCTTTTCACAGATCACGCTGATATCTATGGGTACATGTCTCTATTTTTTTATTACTGCCCCGTGAGGCTAAAATACACTTAGGAAAGCCAGGAAATGTTCTTTCTCCCCTTTTGCCGGAGTAGTAGCGCCCGCGATAGTGGGCGTGACCTTGCGAAAGCGTGGACCGGCGGCAGCTTCGTCGCCTGGGGTTGAACGGGAGGGAGCTGTTGGCGGGTTGGCGTGGCAGGTAACCTGAGCGACCAGAGAGGAACTTGGCTTTGGCTTTTGAGCTTTGCAAATAGGACGTGGCGTGTCCTACATAGTCCAACCATCGAATGTTTTTCCCAATAAGGACCGACACCAGTATAATTGCAGCTCATATCCTTTCGGTTTGATTTTTATTGTGTTTTGTGTCTCTTTCTTCACAAAAGATACCTGATGAAGAAAAGGACGAATACTTGCTTCTGGAGTGCAATCGTGGTATTCAGAGGCTTTCCCACGAGAGCGTTGTAACGGGGAGCAAGCCTCGTGCTACGCATAGTTTATGAAGTTGCCAACTTCACACAAACGCACACCAAACACACCCCATTAGCACCTATATGTGAAACCTGCCGTGTTTGGGGTTGTACAACATATTGCGCTTCATGCGGTTAAATTTTGGTCTACAGTGCTGTGGGGAGGTAACCTGCCTGATTAATTTATGATTCACTATAATGGTAGGTTACACTGAATAAATTATCATTAATTAGATGAGCAATATCGTGCAAACAGCTGATCTGTAACAATTCCAATTTTTCCTTCTGGTTTCTTTTTTTCTAGAAATGATAAGTAATAGGGGAAAAACAGGGAAGGTTACAAATGGAGGATGACAACATTTGCACAAGCCCCAAATGAAACCCGAAATGAACTAGCTGTCCAGAAAGAAGCCTTATCTCTAGAAGCACCACAAAGATATCTTGTAGCTGTTAGATCTTTTCTTAGGTTGTTTTTTTTTCTACAATGAAAGAGTTGAAAAGAGTGATGAGAAAACAACGAATTACAGATAGGGATTGATACAGTCTGAGCCTCTGTACAATTCCTCAAATGAGGCTAAATATTTACATATGAAAAATCTAGAACCACTTCTATCAGATAAAACATTTATTGCAAAATGGTCCTTGCAGAATTTTATCAAATACCTAAATAGCATCTTTCATTATATTCCATTCATATTTCTTTTTTAATCTAAAAAAAATCAAATAAGGAAAGAACAGAAGCATGGTTTTTTTATTGACAATGCAAGCTCTCTATCTGGAAGCATCAACTGTTTAATAGAAAAAAATGTGGAAAAACATCACATGAACCCTTGCAAAACATTTCATGAATGAAGCAGGATAAGTGTCAAAACAGTTTTAACAGTTTTCAGCTTCCAATTAGTTTCACTAATAGAAGTAGTTTTGTCACTTAACTCTGTCTTTTCTTCAGGACAATACCCATTGGTAAGCTGATTCATTATTTATATTTGAGCACACAGACATCTTGCACCAGGTCATGCTGGTACACACTAATTCTAATTCCCTTTTCATCCCACAGATAGCTCAAATACTAGGAAAAATGGTCAGAAGGACATTTATTGAGAAATGGTGTAAAAAATCCTGTTAAGATAATTGGGCGTCAGGCTGAAAAAATATAATACATTTGTTAGTTACCAATAAAGGAGAATATTTGTAGCTCAGGGTTGAAATGAGGGGTCCTTGGTGCTCTCTGAGCTTAGTTGTTTTCTTGCAGACGTTTCATTACCCAAACTAGGTAACATCATCAGCACCAGTACTGATGTTACTTGGTTACTTAGTCTGCAAGAAAACAGCCAAGCTCAGAGAGCTCTGTGGTTAAGCCAAAATTTAAACCTGGGTTCCCATAATATATTCAAGCCATAGTCAGTTAGCCTTTCTGAAAGGCAAAGAGAATGAGGTTGGCTGTTGTCTCCGGTGGCAAGGTGTTCCAAAGGGCAGGAGCCATGGCAAAAAAATGCTCTTCTCCTAGACCTGAAATTCCTTGACCAAAGGGGTGGCAGCAAGCCCCATTTGCCAGAAATATGTATATAAACATCCTAAAAAAATAGATATATTCAGATGGGATTTTTTGCATATGTACTTGATCCTGTTTACCTGGGATTCCCAGACATCCCACTATTCAATCCACAGTCACTTCAACAGTTATATCCTTAGTGTCCCTATCCAAGGAAATACATTTAGAGTTGGGTTATATAGGTAGTCCTTGACTTACAACCATTCTTCTAATGAATGACCATTCAAAGTAACAATGGCACTGAAACAAGTGACTTACAACCAGTCCTCACACTTATGACCATTGCAGCATCTCCACAGTCATGTGATCAAAATTCAGACACTTAGCAACTGGCACATATTTACAATGGTTGCAGTATGCCAGGGTCATATGGTGCCCATTTGTGACTTTCCCACCGAGCTTCCGACAAGTGAAGTCAACGGGGAAGCCAGAATTCCCTTAATGATCATGTGATTCACTTAACAATTGCAGTGACTCACATAATAACCATGGCAAAAAGGTCATAAAATTGGGTATGAATCACTTAATACCCTCTTGCTTAGCAACAGAAATTCCAGTTCCAATGGTAGTCATAAATCGAGAATTCCTTATATAGTTAATTCAGACTAATAATAGGCTGCAAATCAATTCAGTTCAACTAAAGTTAATTGCATTTAATTTCTAAATATATCTTGTGCCTGGAGTTTAATTATGCTGTTTTGTTTATATTTTCATAGGTCAAAATGATTATACCTGTGAGATGCTTCACTTGTGGTAAAATAGTTGGAAATAAATGGGAGGCATATCTTGGCCTTTTGCAAGCAGAATATACAGAAGGGTATGCATTCCTGATTCCTATATTTTCATAACTATTTTATAAGATAAGCAACAATTGTATTAATATAACAATTTGGATTGGAATATAATATTTAAGTATATTATTTCCATGCCACTGAATGCAAATGTTGCTAATGAGAAATGTTTGCTGGGGGCTTCGGTTGATAGCTTATACAGGATAAGCCATTGCTTAATTATTCCCTTGTAGTGTCCTGTTAGAAGTGTATTTCTGAGTAACATTTTAGTTTATTATATTACAAAACAGATCAAGTAATTGATTTTAAAATATTAATCTTAGTTCCAGTAGCTCCTAATACTGATGTATTCTTTTAAAAAAAAAAAAAAAAAAAGCTTGCTTACTTTTGCAGTCATATAACACTGCAGTCATATAACACTGCAGTCATATAACACTGCAATTAAATGGCAGATTATGTTGAATCCCATTATTTACTATAAAAGCCTGAGAAATATTTCTTCCATTGACTGCTAGTATTTGGAAAGTATTGTCTATTATTCTCTTTTGTGCTATATTCACCATTTTCCTTATCTTAGTAGAATTGTCTCTGGTTGCAGTTAATCATGCTGTGATAGCCATTGATTTTTCATTGCGAATACAGAATTGGAAACTGGATCTACAGCCTGAAATTAAATAGCATATTACTAAAATATTTGCATGATAAATACATCTGATTGAGTGTATGCCTAAATTCTCTTGCAATTTATTGTATGATTTTAGATTGGCCAAGTGAGCATACAATGCATAATTGAATTCCTCCTAGCAGCAGAATTGTCTGTAGTGATTGTTGTCTGACAATTTTCAGAACACTTTAGAATGTCAGATATTGTTAAAATAATTTATTGTAATAAAAAAGAGTCAGGTCACCTGAATAAGCTAGTTGTCCAGAGATGCAGAGATTCTGCCATATTTCAAAATATTGCTTTTCACTTACATTGAATTTCTTCAAATAGCACTGACTAAAACCACTATTGAAGAAAAGAACATAATCATTTCTGCTTAATTGTTTAGCTCCATATTATCAGATGTAGGGTTTTTAAAAGTTGGAGCATGGGTTCATAAAAATTGGTATATGACAATTCTTTTGCAACACTCAGCTTTTCTGCAGTTTTGGTGAAAATTAATGTGTTTTTATGCATTTCTACTCAGAAATAAACTCCTTGGAGTTCAATAAAATCATCTCCATATAAGCTTATACAACTCTGCAATCTATGTATGCTGGAATTTTCATCAAAACACTAATAAAACAAATACAACAATTATAATACATCACTATTAAAATGTGTAATGATCTATTTTTAGTTTGTTTTTTGTTGGAATAGATTTGAGGTTGAACACTGTGAGGAGGATTTCATTTGATGTGGAAATGTAGAAATTGTTGGGGAAGCTACAGATTGCCATTTTGTGTTTATCAGTTCTCTGCTTATATTTTTTAGCTTCCACTTACTTGATCTGTGAGGGACTGCCATCTCAAACTGAATGTTAAATGCTCTAAATATTTTATGCCTACACACACATCCTTACCCAAATCATGAGCTGTACAGGTAGTCCTCAATTTATGACCCATCCTCGAAGTTATGATCATCACACTGTCTCCCACACTCATGTGATTGCAGTTTGCACTTGGCAATCACCTCACATTTATGACAGTTGCAATGTCTTGCAAACATGTGATCACGATTTGTGACCTCAGCCAGCTTCTGACAATGAAAGTCAATTGGTGAAGCAGGTTTTCACTTAATTACCATATGATTCACCTAAAAATGGCGGTGATTCACTTAATCACCATGGTAAAAATCAGGTTTGGTCACATGATTACTCATGATTACTCATGTGACCAAACAAATTTTGATCCTAGTGGCTGTTATAAGTCGAGGATTACTTGTAGTCTCCCATTTAGAATGTAATATTTCCTTACATGTCAAAATATACAATAATAACACTTGAAAAATGCCAACTTTTCTCAGAATATTGCTATCCTTGTTTGTGCCTATGACTCTGCCATCAGAAACATGCTAATTAGTCCCTATGGAAACCCTGGATTTATATAGAATAGAAACAAATGAAATATTTATCTGGAAGGTCAGGATTAAGCCCAGATAAGCTGTTTCCACTAAACAAAATATGGGTGTCAAACTCGCATCACGTGACGTGTCGTGATTTTTTTTTTTGCATTGCCGGAGCTGGGGTGGGCATGGCCTCCATATGATGCAACCAGCCCATGGGCCGGCAGTTTGGTACCCCTGAAATAGAGGCTGATCACCAGGATTGACAGAGCCTAATGAACAAGTAACCATCTAAAATCAACGTACAGTTTCCCATCCCTCCATCTGAATAATCCACTGCACTCATCAGAATGATAAAATCAGAGTGATACAATCAATCCAGGATGATACAGCAAGATCTGATAGTTGAAATCATTACAGAGCAAGGAGTTTCTCCCATACTGCATTTATACCACTGGGGGGGGGGGGGAACTAAATGCTTTTTCTTGAGAGTGGCACTACACTAATAACATCCAGCATTGCAACATGTGCCCTGAAATTAATTTGAATGAGTAGTTATTGGTTCAATAAATTATTTTTGTGTTTCAATCCTTTTTATAGAATGGGGATTCTTGCAGGCATATGCATAGACATGTGTTCATAGGCAGGTGTGTCTCTCACACAACGCACACAGAGATAGCATGAGGAGAGGATTTGTCACGATTAGTTTCAGGTAGAGTTGACAGTCATAGCTTGAAAAGGAGAGGAAGCTAGGAATTACAAAGGGTTCCTGTCTTTTTCTCATTGTTTACTCTTCTGTTTTGAAACAGGCTATTTTTATGTTCAGAGTCTTTCTTTGTATAAATACAATATTGTGCAGTTGGGAAGGAGAAAAAGAAGTTGCTGAAAAGCGCTATAAGCCAATGCTGCATGTGACTTTTGTGATAGAGAATTTCTAAGCACTGGAGTGGAAAGAAAATAAGCAAATCATAGATCTAAAAGTTCCCCACATTTTCTTTTTACATTTTCCTGCAGGGCAGAAGCCATCTTTTACATCTGTCTTGTTAAGAAGATAAGATTTGAAGTAGTCAAAAGCATCTTTTTCCCCCAAACAAATAGCCTTGGTTCTTCGATCAAAACAGCAGTTCCTCTCACTAGACTATCAAGACACCAGATGTGATTTTAAGTGGGAATGCTCAAGGCAATCAAATCAGGCACATGTTTATGAGTAGAAAAATCTAAAAACTAGTAATTGATCCAAGTAGAATTAACAGAGCATTTATGAGGCAACTTCTTTCACAACTTTTTCCCCTAATGATTTCTGATTAGTTTAGTTGCACCATCCTCTGTTGCAGATGCTCACATTCTCTTTTTCTCTCATCCTTGTTCCCTTTGTGGATGAGGCCTTGAATTTGTATTTATTTTTTGGGGATCTGATTTAAGCATGATGATTTTCTTTAAAAATACTACTGCTTTTGTTTGTTCCTAGTGATGCCTTGGATGCTTTGGGTCTGAAAAGATACTGTTGTCGCAGAATGCTGCTTGCCCACGTAGACCTGATTGAAAAGCTCCTGAACTATGCCCCACTGGAGAAATAAATATGAAGAATTTATGGTGCTACATGTACATGAACCAAAGTTTTTACAGTCCTCAGGCCAAACTGCTGGGATTAGAAATCAGATTAGTAATCTGTGGGAAATTCCTTAGCCACTTAGCATCACCCCCAAAAAATGACTTAATAATGAATTCCACCTAGACAGTTGGGGACTGTGCTTTTAATTACACGGGGATTTTGTCAGTTTCTAAGTATATTAGAATCTTTTCTATTTTCAAATATGGCAGTTTGAAAAAGAAAACAAATGTTGGGTTACTGTCAGCAGTTGTAATGAAGTTTTATTAAAAATATTTTGGTTAAACCAGTTCCCATCATCTTATTCTAAATCTCATTCATGAATATATGGATTGCATTTCAGCCTCATTCAGATCGTTGACTTGGGCATTTACACGTGATGATGAATTCCATTTCAGTGTTCTTCCACATTATTACATGATATCTTAAAAACTAATAATAATAATATGTGCTATGGGTTGTCAAACAAAAAATAAAAATAGGAAGGGCAGGGAGCCTCTTCAGAAGTGACCTTTGTATATACCAATAATTTCAACATATATTTTGACCTTGCAGGAAGTAATCTGTATCTGATTAATTAGATAATAGAATATTTTTCATTACATATGCCAGAATGTAAAACTAACAATCCATTTTCTAGAGCAGACATGTCAAACACAAGGCCTGGGGGCCAGATGCGGCCCGCGAAGTGGTTTCATGTGGCCCGTGAAGCCATCCTGGAAACAGTGAGGGAACGGCCCCCACTGCCTTGGCCCTGGCCCAGGCTGGCCGGGAGCCAATGTACAATTTTGTGGTGGCCATCTATGCTGAAACGCATTGTCTTAGCTCCACAAGGCCGTCTAGAAACAGCGAGGAACCAGCCCCTGCTGTGTCGGCCCCGCCTCTTGGGTGCATGCTGGGGAGGTGTCACCCTTTGTGAGGAATGAAGAAATGGACCATGCCTTGGCACTTGCCCTGGTCCCACCCCCTTCTGCCAGAGACCCTCAGATCTGTCCCACTCTGGCCCAGGCCCCAACAGGTACTCTTGATGCGAACGATGTAGAGCTGGCCATGCCCACCCAATAGGCCACACCCACTCCATCCACGCCCACCCAGTAGGCTGCACCCACCTTGGCCGCACCTACCCGGCCCTCTAAGGGCAACTGCAATACTGATGCAGCCCTCAATGAAATTGAGTTTGACACCCCTGTTCTAGAGTGTGGCAAACAGACAAAGGTAAAGAGAAAGTGAGCAACTTAGCTTTATGATGAGCAATTATCTTTTATGGAAATCATTACATCCAAGAAGGAATAGATTAACCAGATGCAAGTCGTAAGTAATCTATATAGATGTGTTTGTTATGCAAGTCATAAGGAAACAAAATGGTTACATGCATGTTTTCACATTCTCTTGTTCGTGGATTCAATCTGGGTCAGTCACCGGGACCAGAGGTTTAGTCTTCCGAGCTTTGAGACTTGTATTGAAGCCCATCCTCAGGGAACTTTTCTCTCACCAGAATGTCTCTTGTTCATCCTTAATGTAATTCAGAAACTTTGTGTCTGTCAACCAAAAGATACTGCCTTCATGTTGAATATGTTTTTGACAGTTCTGGAGTTGGTTTTTAATCATTAGAGTTGAGCTGGAAATCAGCACTCGTATTTTCTGTTTTGGGATCATTTGAGGGAACTTAGAAAATAAATATGTGCTTCTTGCCAAATAAATATAGAAGAAATTGTAAATTATTCAGCTTACGAACTGTAGAAAACAAAATACGCAATTAATTGAGTTACAGGTAAAGATGTCTTCCTATTAGCCAGCAAAATACTTTTGGATGTTTTCAGTCATTTTGAGTACTGCTGTGGTGCAAGTACAATCCAAAACCATTTTGGACTGTAGCTATCCAGGTCTGCTATAACGGCCTTGAGTTCCAACATAGCACAGTGCCATTTTAGAGATGGCAAACAGCTTAGAGGAATTGGTATTTTATCAACTTACAGACATTATTCTATCTTTTTAAAAAATAATTACTAATATTTCCTGCAAAGACAGAATAAAGTTTTCATTTTTTATATTATGTTCAGCAAGCCCAGACCATGTAAGAAAAGTCATCTATTAAAAAATTAATAAATAAAACTAAAAATACAAGAAAAGCTTCCTTCTCTACATCAGGGATTAGTAAAGCTTCTCTGGAATAATAGTAATAAGGATTCAATAAAAATGCCAAATCCAGTCTAAACATCTGGCTGACTACAACCAACCACAACATAATTCAATTCGTAAAGCCATCTAATACAAAATGTCTCAAGGCAATGTATAGCGGATGACAAACATTAAAAAAAACAAGTATCGTAATAACTGCAGAGCAAGGAAATATACAGAAAACATATCAAACCACGCAGGATCACCAAATGCCCATAACTTGCTAAACATGTCAGTTGTTAACCATCCCTTCAGCTTCACATTCCCTCTAAAGTATCCAAATCCCCTTCATCTAATAATAAATAATAAACATATGCCAAAGGAAAACTGCTTCCATAAACCAATGGTACATTACATTAAGGGGTGTATGTGCCTTGCTGAAACTAAGAAAATCAGTCTGGACAGTGCTTTGAGTTGGAAATAATCTAGCAAATCCATATATCATGTTTTGGTGGCATAAACATAATAAATGAGGTAACATTATTCCCAACTTTGATATTCAAAGATTTGGTGAACGTCAGTTTCTTAGGCTCATCGTTATAATTCAAGAAATTATGGTTATGTAGCTTGTACCAAAAAGACCAGCAAAGACAGGCGCATATTCAGTTACTTTGTCTAGCTATTTTCAGTTCCATTTAGAACCCCATTTTTTTCAAACACTCTGACTAACTTTATCAATTTGCTTTTTTAAAAAAACAAACTATTTTAGGAATATTTAAAAACTTCTAAGCATTATTCTTATGTCCTCCTTTCTTTACATGTTAACCTTCCTTTTTTCATTTATTACTGAGATGCAAAATATTGTTTTTTTATCCTCCAGTCTTTAGCCATTTAAAATGTTCTGTTATATTTTAAACCTCATGCTGAATCCTAAAGCAAAGGGCATTAAGTGATTAATTTTGGCATTTGTGTTTCATGGTTGGCTGGAGAGCTTATGTTTTTGTAAGCTTGTAAATTATCTAGGAAAATAGCTTTTTAAAAAAAATAACATTCTGTTTCAGGCCTCACGCTTCTGGAATTTATCAAAGAAATGTACCATTCCTTTGCTTTTACCCCTCCACAGTTACATGTTTAGGGTATAAAGTTGCACTAGTTCCAGGTGCTACAGTTGGGGGTTTTTTTCCCCAGAATCTCTGCCTTCCGAAAGAAAATCCTTGGTTATTTTGCACTTCAATCCAACGTTTCACTGAGACAGCCTCCTCCCTCATGTCCCAGGTTATATTGCTAATACTGTACTATACAAAAACTACTCTTGACAACACCAGAAGGCATCGAGGTAGTTTAAGATGCTCTCTTGTGCCTACCACATTAAAGCTGTAAGTGGGGCTGAAGAAAATAAGATATAAGCAAATAAAAAGTGTAAAGATGAACATAATCCCTTAGTCAAAGTGTAACACCTGATCCAGCACAGTGGGATAGATTAGAAGTTCTCAAACATTAAATCTCAGGACCCCCTTTACATTGTTTAAAAATGAGTGAGGAAAGAACTTTGGTTTATGTGGACTATATCTATAAATTTTTGTTGTATTAGAAATTAAAACTGAGAATTTTTAAAATATTTATTTGGCTTTGTGGATCCCTGAAACACCGTTGGAGACCCCCCAGGGTCCCCAGACCACACACTGAGACCCACTGGGCTAGACATGTGCATGTACATGATATAGCTGTAAAACACGTAACTGCACCAAATAAAACGTTTGACTAATCACTATGTGTTTTGTTAACCATTCCTTGTTACAAAGATGAAAATTTGACCTGTAAAACTTAAATATGCAAATGGGAATTAAAAAGTATTTCCACTGCAGACATTAAGCAATAAAAGTAATTAGTACTGAAGACATGCTAATGGGCGTTTGCAGAGCTACAAGGATTTGTCAGAGAGCATGTACCACAGCTATTTATTTACCATTTCAACATGATCATCAAGATTTTAATTTGAAACTGGGAAAAGATCATTTTCCCTGTGTGTTAAATTTGCAGAGGGTATTTTACTATGGGTTTTGAAGATTCTTACCTTTTAGAGAGCAAATGCAGTACTACTGTAATAAAGGGAAATTTTGTCCTTTTGAAATGAAAAATCTAAGATTGATTCTGTCACATACAACTCCCAAAAGGGGTGTCCTTATTTTCCTTGCTTTCTTCAAAATTAAAGGATAGCCCCATTATTTCAAGGATAGTTCTATTGTTTTTGCTGCCACCAGAAAACCATTTCCATTTCTTTCATTTTTCTCCTACATTTATTTATAAATATTTGAGGTAAAGTGACTAGGAAGAATGTGGGAAGGTTATAAGACCAGCACAGTTTGTGTTGTGTCCTCTCTCTCTCTCTCTCTCTCTCTGTGTGTGTGTGTGTGTGTGTGTTTGTGTGTGTGTGTGTAAGTGTGTGTAAGCTGCCCTCCTTGCCTTCTGCTATACTAAATATATACTTATAAATCTGTCCTTTTGACAGATGGACTTTTTCTAGGGACTACGGCCTTCCGTCCAATCTGTCTTTCCACCCACACTTCCCAAATCCCTCTGTTCATAATTCCTCCAGAATATAAACTGGGAGGAAGTGCTCTGTATTGCCACACTTTGATGACAGTCATCATATATTTACACCTTGTGTTTAGCAATTATGCAACTTGTTTCTTTTTTGCCCAATGTGATGTGTAAATGATAAACCATGGATTTTCATTGTTATAGAATGATTGATACCCACACCAAACCAAAAACAAATGCACAGATCTACGTAGCTTAGTCCTGTGTCTGTCAGTCTATCAGTTGGATCTCTAAACAATTCAGGAACAGGAGCTTCACCGTAGAGGAATTGTTCACAGTCCGGTCTCCTGACATCTGAACTCCAGCTGGAAGAACAAATAACCAGTGAGAACAAATAACAATTAACAGTGGGAACAGTTAACCAGTGGAATGGCTTACCTCCAGAGGTTGTGGGTACTCCATCATTGGAGGCTTTTAAGAGTCTGGACAGCCACTTGTCTGAAATGGTATAGGATCTTCT